CCATTATCCTCATTTCCCCCAGCAGCATTCATCACATTCGCCACACCCACTGCATCACTCACGGTGGATGAAACCTCCAAGTGCTCATCCAGCGTGTTGGAGGACAGAGGCTGGATAGTCTCCCTATCACTACCATTACTACCGTTGGAATCGTCGTGACCATCATCACGAGTACACTCCGTCTCATTGCCCAGTTTCATATCGCCAAGCTCCTCGTCAATAACCTCGAACCCGTCTTGTCCCAGCACTGACTTCAGCAGTGGCCATCTATCGCCATCGACGTTCCTGGCGCCCAGCAGCGACACGATACCCATGAGCTTCCCCATAACCAGCTCACTCAGCTCCGAAACCTCATTCGCCAGAGAGCCGTCCGCCAGCCCAACCTTGAGGTGGTGGTTCGCCTCATCTATGCTCCTCACACACCTCCTCAGCCTCTTCTGCAAGAGCTCATGAGAGTGTCCGACGTTCTGCTGTAGTCTCAGCGTGCTCTGTACTTGTTTATCCAAATCAGTCCTGTACTTAGTTGCCGATTCGACCAGAGAGCGTTGCAACTCCTTCGTCTCCTCGGGCAGGTCGCTCAGCACGTTCACCAGCAGCGTCTGCGATAGCGAAGGGAGCTGCTCCATACCGTTCGTATACACCAACACGGCCTCCTATCAGGCTAACACGAGCTGTATAGGTGAATACAGGCCTTGTATCATAGTGATAGTAAGCTGTATGTGTGTGTTGGTACGCGCAGCATACAGACCACCCGGACACCAATTTGGAATCCTGCTTCGGCCACGCACCCTGCTTACGTAATATCGTCGCTCCAGCTCTATGGGCGCTTTTGTTTACAACCCGGGCCCGCTCATTGTTGTGGTTTTCTCCTACTTTCCATCAACATTGCGCTGTAGTTGGATGTTCAACGGCGGCTGATACCTCTCTAAGCTAAGCGCGGGTATCGTTTTGGTCATAGATCTCTGTGAAGGGAAGACGTGACGTGGAAGGACGGAGCAGAGGAAGAAGAAGTAGAAGAGCATGCCTCCAAAGATCGTGTCGAAAGACAATACGTATGTTCCTCCACTGGAGCAGATTCATCAGAAGCCTTTTGCCAACCCAGCGAAGAGGATACGGGTCTCCAGGGCGTGCGACACGTGTCGGAAAAGGAAGGTGAAGTGTGACGGCAAACACCCATGCATCCACTGCACGGTGTATTCGTACGAGTGCACGTACAACCAGGTGAAGCCATTGGTGCCGCCGCAGAAGAAGAAGCCCAAGACAGACGACAAGAAGAAAGAGGACAAGAGGTTCCAGCTCCGCCTAATGAGGGAGATGTTCCCGGAAGTTGGTATAGAGGACTCGTCCCAGTGTGAGGCGTTTGCAAGGATATTTGCGAAGCACAGGACAGCTGGACAGGTGGACATGAAGGCTGTTGTTGATGAGTACAATGGTCAGATGCACAAGGAAACGCTGAACAGCTTGAACGCTGTGAACAATGCTGCTACCGATGCTGCTAATCTGGGCGCCGGTGTGAGCGAAAGTTCTGGTGACAAGTCTGCAGATTCCCACAAATCTTCAGCTCCCCGGAATGATCATCTTGAGATAAAGATAATACTTCCTCCACGGGAAATTGCACTGAAATTGATATACAAGACATGGAGTGAAAGCTGTGTCCTGTTCAGGTTTTATCACAGACCTTCTTTCATCAACGACTTCAACTCGTTATACGAAACAGCACCAGCAGAGTACTCGCATCATCAGAACAAAATGTTACCCTTGATTTATTCCGTTATCAGTGTTGGTGCGCTCTTCTCCAAGGGAGACAATGCCATTGATAACCAGTACTTGCAAGATGAAGGTTATAAGTACTTCATCGCCGCAAGGAAACTCATTGACATTACAAACACTACTGACATCGAAAGCGTTCAAACCATCTTCATGCTGACATTGTTCCTGCAATGTTCGGCACGTCTAACAACTTGCTACTCGTATATTGGCATTGCTCTTCGCTCTGCACTGAGACAAGGCTTGCACAAACAAGTTGAATCTACCTCACAACTGGATAACATAACACAAGAGTGCAGGAAAAGATTGTTTTGGACAATATACAAAATGGAGATTTATGTCAATTCAGTATTAGGATTGCCGCATTCCATTGACGAGGACGACATCACGGTAGAGTTCCCACTCGATGTTGATGATGTCAACATTGAAGTGGATCACATCGCACCACAACCAGAGGGAAAGTTGAGTTCATGTGGTATAAACAACTGCCATACCAAACTTATACTGATTTTGAATCACATTGTGAAAAAATTGTACAAGACTTCCAAACCGATATATATGATCCCAAAAGAAGTATTCCAATCTTTGGAGAATGAATTGAGATTGTGGAAGTACGAATTGCCCTATCAGTTGCAACCAGACTCTTTACAGAATATACCACCTGTGTACATGCTTGCTAACAGATTGCTCTACTTGGATTACTTGCATGTTCAACTTATGCTCTATAGGCCTTATATTCACTATGTGAAGCTTGCAAAACAAAATGGCGCAACGAGAGGTTCATTCAAGAGCTTTGAGTACGATAACGGTATGCACTGTGTTGGTATTGCAAAGAAGATTATCATGCTAGCACAAACGATGATTCGTAATAAGATGCTCAATGGGAGTTATTGGTTCTCGATCTACACAATCTTTTTTTGTGTGGCGTGCTTGGTTTATTACTTCTTGGAGATTGATAACCACGACGAAGAGATCAAAGTGGCAATTGAGATTGGTAAGGAGATGTTAAGTGTCTTAAAAGAAAGATCTATGAGTGCTGAGCGTATCTTCAACCTTTTAAACCACATGTTTGAAAACTATGAGAGACACAACATCAAATTCCAGGAGCTACAACAGCATAATCGCGAGGCCACAACACCTAGACCATCAAAAGGTTTGAGAAAGACTTCTAGTGGTACTCTGCTCAACAGGGTTGTGTCACCAAATGCTAATGCAAATGCAACCACCGCAAAGGCTGACAATACCAATAGAGAGGAGCCGTTCTTTGAACTTGACGGCGATTTCAACATTGATATCTTTAGCAAATTTCTTCCAGGTTATCTATTGGAAACACCTGGTAAGTTGGATAATTTGGAAATGATGGCACACTCGGGCAATTATGAGAACAGTCCATTGGGGACCGTGAGTACAGCATCTAAGAATGACGAACGTGAGTTTGATTGGGAAAGGTTTATAGACAAAGATGACGTATTCGCTCTCGACGTCTGAATTTTAATGTGGAAAAGAGAGAGATTGTCTTATAAGGACAAACAGGATATTGTGTTGTAGTGTTCATAAAATCATACATTGGGGGCAGTTCACTGGTTGAACTTCTTCTTCAATAGTTCCAAAAGCGAGTGGCCTTCAGGTCTTTTGATTCTCTGTTCGTAGGAATAGTAAGCTGTAGTTCCCACGAAAACTCCAAAGAGTGGGTCTAGATATCTTTGCAGCTGTTAGTGATGAATGTCTTGATGGTTATGATATGGTTATTACTCACTTTGATATGAGGTATCTGTTCATCGTTTGTCCGATTCTGGCGTATCGCTTATCCGAGAACACACTCTAATTTGTCCTTTTTGTGTCGCTTATTTGTCCCCTTGTTGTAATGTCCAACTTTTTTTTTTGCATGTTGATCTTTCCCAAAGCACGCGGCAAGACAAAGTGCAGAGAAAAATAGCACAAAAACAGAAACTCTCTGTGACGCGTCACCGTTCATCGGGAGCCCAGGACACACAGACAACATAAGTTAGAGTTTGGTGATCTTATAAACAAGGCAAGACAGGACGGGTCAAGTCAAGTCAAGACAGGGGACAAGACGCGCGCTAACTTCAACACTCAAATACGCCAAAACGTATACATTTGCCTTTCGCATTTTCACAGAGCGCCATAATGGAAGTACCTCAATCAGCAAACGTGTACACGCTAAACTCATTACCAGTGAGAATCAGATACACAGGCACGCATGCTCTGAAGCATTTCAAAGTCGAGGAGGAATTGAAAGATGGGGAGAAGGTTTACAGCACACACATCCGTGGACGGAGACTTATTGGTAAAGAGATGCCCTTAGAGTATCAAGCGCATATTTTGACAAAGCAGTTCGACGCGTTGCAATCCTTGGGTGTTTGCGAAAAGGGCATATGGTTTGAAAGAGAAGGCGTTGAAAATAACAAGACTGATAAATTAAAAGAGATGGTTGAGGTAGCTGAAAGCATCCACGGTTAATGGTGTCTATGGTCGGAAAATTTGCTTGTAGTTTGCTAATTAGCTGCGAGAAAGCCACACACGAACACAACCTCGAGGACCAGGCAAAAACACCCCGGCTTTTAGGTGCGAGCCCAGCCGAGATAACAAAACAAGTAAACAACAACAACAACGCCTTCCTTCCAAGGAATACAACACGGAGTAGAGAATCTTCACGCAGATTACGTGATAATGCAAACGCTTCCATTCCCTCATGAGATTCTTCTGCTGGTCTTCCAGCACCTGACAAAGAGAGATCTTCTGAACCTCAGCGTGTGCAGTTCAGAGCTACGGTATACCCTTAAACCGTACATTCTTCGGGAGGTCAAGTTTGACTGGGGGTTCATCCTTCGAGAGTTCAACCATCTGTTGATAAAAAGAGGTCAGAAGAGAGACTGCGACGGTGAACTGTTGCAAGTCTCTAGGGATTGTGAGGCCTTATCGCTGCGCCAGTTTGTTGAAAAGATCTTCGTCACACAGGGTAATCTCCAAAATGAATGGAACTTCAACTTTGGTGCGATGGTGAGCCAATTTGCCAATCTGACTGAGTTGAAGTTGACCATCGAGAGCTCGTCGAGCTTCCTCAAGTACAACGACTCTCTACAGTCGATAAAGAAGCTGGAGCTCTCGACGATTGCGGAAGGGTCTATCTTCAACCTGAACCATTGTCAGCACTTCACGAAGCTGACCACCTTGAAGATCAATGGCTTCTGTGTGGACTTTGATCCAGAGGACACTAGAGACTTACCATTTGTTATCAAGGACCTGGAGCTGATCAACTGCTCATGGAGCTATCCCTTCCAGCTCAGCCATTTTGGACATGCCATCACAACACTACAGCTAACCTATATCAACCATCAGTTCATACTGAGCGAAAGGTTCAGAGAGTTTCTACACAACCCAAGCTTACCAAACTTGCAATACCTGACCATTTCGAATCAGAATGTCCTGACATTACACATAACGTACAGGATCATGAAGTTTTTGAAGAACATACCAAATCTACAAAGGCTGTACCTCCTGGGAAAGATAACGAATGAGACTATAGACAACTTCACTGTGCACGACTTGGAGAACAAGGTACGGTACGTGCTGAACGTGAACAACGTCAAGATCTTCTACTCCTCGTTTGTCGACGCTTCAAGGAGTATTGTCTGAATGTACTGAGGTTCTATATACAGGTTTCACTTAGGTGGGGGAAGTAAGAGCACGTCTTTCTTTGGTGGTAAGGTCTTTGTAGCGTTATCGAACTCCCTCACGGTGATCTCGCACTTGACCTCCTTGCACAGCTGCTTCTTCTTGCCCTGTGGCACGTTCTGCAGAAAGGTCAAGCCAGAGGATCTTTCAAGGGCCTCTACAGGGACCTCAAACTCCGTCAGCGAGGTCTTGTTGTCAATGACACCGTTTGGAAGCACGAAAGCAGCCACGCTCAAGTCACCGTTGGGCTTTTCACCGACAACGAGCTTGAAGAAATGCGTTGGCACTGCAATGTTTGGAGGATTTCCGATCATTTCGTACTCAACCCTCCACTTACCATCGGCACACTTCTTTGGAAGGTACAATGGGCCTGTCACCAGGCGCACGCTTGGGAAGTTCGCCACCTGTTGGCGACAGAAGTACTCCAGGTGAGCCCAGTAGTCTCTGTTGAAGCCATCGCCAACTTGTGGCGATATGTTTGTCAACAAGAATGTCTCGTTCATCGCCTCTTGCGAGAATTTGGCATTGGCTGCTGGTGCCTGGTGACCTCTGTCATACCCAGATCTGAAGTAATCCCTCAACTGTGCCCTGAATGCCAGAGGGATCTGCTCGTCTTCCTTGAAGACGGACTTCTTTCTATCAACGTTTCCAGAGTTCTTGAGCGACTCAGGCGTGATGTGCTCCACAACGTAATACGGGTTTCTCTTCTGTCTGTCATAGCACGAGATGTACTCCTGGTGGGTCTTCAAGTCATGGACAGGGCCTGGGAACCCATACTTGAAGAACTCTGATGGGTTAACACCTCCCGGAGACACAAGCGTGCCACCGCCGGTAATCGTCGTTGGCAGGTTCTTAGACGCTGTGTTTGCGCCATTGGCCTGTTGAGCATTCGTCTCCGTGGATGATTTGCCCCAGAAGAAGTTCGCAACAGCGGCAGAGACACCTGCGCTCGCAATACCCGTGGCCAAGTACTTGGACATATCTTCAACTATGCCTTCGACGCTGTCAACAACTCATCGCCAGAGGGTACGTCCGTGTTGGTAAACCCGGGAAGCGAAGGAAGGAAAAAAAAACTTTTCCTCCCCCCCCCCCGGTTGATTTGTCCCCGTTCCCCTGGAAACGGGCGGTTTCATCTCCAAAGGCGGGACAACCTTTTTGACACAAAAACACCACCGTCTACTGTGATGAGTGGGAAAATGGCCACCATTCACCACCGCCCGCAGTGGCAACACGTAGTGTGCTTACCATGGATGGCCGTCCCCTCGAGATGGAAGCCCCCTCGAGATGGAAGCGCTAAGCCAAGGATACAGGGGATGGGTCCAAGGTTTGTGGGATTGGACAAGAGGAAAAACGTTTCATGTCCTTGTCTTGCTTGGTTTGTCCCTGTTGGTTTGTCCCGGTGGGTGCTGTGTCTACGCATAGCCATCGAAACAGACTCGATCATCAATGGCCGTCTCGATCACTTTGATAGATCGCACTATAAACGTCCTCTTCATACTGGAGACGTATCTATTCTCTCTGTTTCTACTACCTGTTGAGGCTATCGCCGCGGTGTTTGAGCTCATAGAGGACACTAACGAGATAGTTGGGGAGGAGAATGACACTGCGTTGCTCCATGTTCTGGCCACCGGCCATCATGTGTACTCGCTATGGGCTCCTTGGTACAACTTTAGGCACTGGCTGCACGGTGAGACCGCACAGTTGTTCAGAAGACACTGGTGGATGCTGTGCCTGTCCTTTGTCATGCCACCACTGGCCATATATTTACGCTTTGGAGCGTGCACCAAGCTCGGCTTGTCTATAGGCCTAACGTGTTTGGGATTCCACGCGATTGCAGTGTGCCATTCTGTGTACATCTTGTATTTCCACCAACAGTATAGGTATAGGATTGGGGGATGATTCTACATTGAGGTTGTGCTGCAGCTGTGCTCGGTCGAGAGCATTAGAGTAGAAGGTAGCTTGGTTTCACCACTCCGTATAAGCAGAGCTTCTATAGTTTCCACGTTTATGACATATTGTAACTCATCGCAAAGTAGCAAAACGGTGTAGCGTTGCAAGACCATTAGCTGGGGATAACATTTCTGACCATTATTACAAAGAGGAGTGGAGTATGAGGGCTCTTGAGGTTTTACAATAATTGGCAAGTGGTCTCTATGTACAAGCATGCATTAGTTTCCGCACATAGTGCGTTCATATTTTTGCAATGGTTCACACTCTTTTACGGAGTAGTCGCACCCCTTTGTCCAGATTCTCTTGAACTGCTGTTCACTATCACTTTCTCTAAATCCAACTTGTGCAGCATCTCTATTGTAGCATCTCGTTATGTCAATTCTTAGGTCTTCCGGTGACATCCCCAGTTCGACGAGCTCTAATAGAGCCCAATCCATCACCTCTCTCATATTATGTTTTCTTGCCTTGTCAAAGATTGTCTTCACGACAATAATCCGGCTTTGTAGCCCAATTGACAGTCTTATGAGATGTTGCTGTTCTTGAACACCCCATGGGTTCCGACATATGTCTGTGCTCATAACAGGAGACTTCAACCCAAGGCGTGAATACGCATCCAAAAGGAAATCCTGTGTTGAGCGTTCATAGATCATCTTGGACTTCCAAACGCCTGCGTACCCAAAGGTCTTCGTCAGGTATCTTATATAAAGGGAGCTCAACATGGTCCAGAATGGATGTGTCAATTCAAACATTGATCGACATTTATCAACAATATCTTGTACAATCACCAACTCTCGCTCATGGAACTGTCCCTTTGTGGAAACCAGATGATTCACAATCCTCAGGTATGCAGAATGGGATAACTGTTGTGGAATTCCATGCGTAAAGCTGATGGCGTCCATGAGATCCCCCTTCTGTAGTAGTCCATCGACTATTATAGCGTAGTCTTTACTCTCCATACCTGAGTGAGAGATCTGCGACATAATCCTCTCCAGTCCTTGGTAGTCTCCCAGCTTCATATTCATTTTCAACAAGGTACTTAGAACTGGCCGTGGAACTGGAGTTTCCAGGTTTTCAACGATATCGTTTATCATATCGATATCGTTCTGTAAGATTGCGTATCGCATGATAGAATCTACCAAAAAGGGATGCGTGTAATGCTCATGTGGGATCCTCTGTATCAAGTCTTGTGCAAGCTTTTGGTATCCCTTAGACTTTAAGAACTCCTTGATCATTATAGATACAACTTGAAGATCATAGTCCATGATGTTGGAATATACCTGTGAAATTCTTCTCCAGTTCCGATACATACCAGCTCTGTTATGTATAGATGCATCATTCAAAATCAACTCGTAAGTGCTTCTAACTTCAAAATCGTTATTTGAGGCCTTTATATGGTTTGAGAAGAACCTTGTGAGTTTTGATAGCACGCTCTTATTGGTGTATAACGCTAAGATCTTTTGCTGAATCTGGCTGGTGTGGTATACGTCGAACTTCCAGTTGTACTTTGACGTGATCTTCATGATGAGATCCAGTGCAATTTCATCGTTCTTCGGGTCCTTCAGCAGTAGATAATCCAGCACCCTCTTAACTATAACTTCGGGATAATGATGCTTCAGCACAGTTGACGCAGCCAATAACCCGTTATCCCAGTGAAGACACATGTCGACGATGATATGCTCCATCGTCTCTCTCTGGTCAGCTGTTTTCGATGTGGTCAGTTTAGAGCTCATTTTAGCACTTTCTATTCCGATATCACCATCTAACGACTTCAGTACTTTGAGGAATAACACAACGTCGTTATGCCTGGCCAAAGACCTCATTTGTACCGCCAGGAACGTCTGTAATGCGACATGCTGTCGTATGGCCCGTGATACATTGCTGAGAGCGGTCATTAGAGCGTCATTGCTCAGGCCAACCAGATCGGAGCGCTGAGACTCATCAGTGCTGGAAAGCTCCAGTGTCCTTTCTACCAACTGTTTCGGCGTGATCTGACCTCCTACGGAATTCAAGTACGTAGCCAATGCGCTTGGCCTGCTGGTCACATCCATGCGAATTCTCGACACAACAGGACTCACAGAGCTTGAAGAGCAATACCGCACCGAGGCCATACGAGCATATTTCGAAAGCAAGCAGCAGCGTCTCATTGCTGAAGTTCTAGAAGAATGACACACACACAGCGCTCACAGAAACAGAGAAAGAGAACTCATCGCTATGAGACCTGTGACGATGAAGTACTAAAGTGAAATTTTACTCCGAGGCTATCTCCAAAACATTCACCGGAATTTACCCCTTTAGGATACTTTCCTCGTTGGGATATTTCTTCGAGAGTTTTCCGCTCGTTCCCAATCGCTCATTGGGGGGAAAACAGCGAAAGGGCCGAAAGAGAGGACACAAAAGCGTAAATAAAAGAACCACAAAAACGACAAGTGTAAACAAACGAGCCACAAAAACCACAAGTGTAAACAAACGTGCTGGAAATATGTCTGTGTTCTTCTCTTGCGATGCGCTGGTGAGGGAATTGGGCATATCAGATAACAAGCAGCGTACTTTGTTAAGTTCTCAGGTGAAGTTATACGGCGAGATCACCGGTTGCGACGTTGGAAGCGCTGTGGTGAACGAGTTGTTGCAACAGTTGGATGAGCTTGTTGATCTACTGCACAATGACAAGAACAGCCAGTTTCTGAAGCTGTTGTCGCAACCTGTTTGCTTGTCTATGGGGAAGAACTATGCCGCGCTGCTCACGCAGAATAGAACGAGGTTGTTTGACACTACGAACAAGTTCATCACAACGTTCACCGATACAAAGAGGCCCACCGAGTTGAAGAACTTGTCGTGCGTCGTGTTGACGGCGATCTATGGGAGTTTTGGTAGAGAGGTTGTGTCATTCATCCCAGGGCTACTAGTGACGATCTTGAAGTACTTGAAGAAGGAGAGCTTCGACGTCAATCTGAGTGCACTCTGGTATGCCATATTGAGAAACGGTGGCTCGCTGGAGATGACGGACTCGGTCTTGAGCAAGTACCTGAAGCTGCTCAAGATGACTGAGTCCATAGAATCGCTGAAACTGCTATACGGCTGCTTTGGCCAAGCCGTTGGCTTTAAACAGATTGATGCGCTGACCTTTAGAACTACTTATCACCCTTACATTCAGTTGGCTTTTGATTCACATAAAGATGTTCGCGTGCAACTGGCCAAGTCATTATCAGAGTACATGGTGTTGCTGAAATGGGACTTGACCACATGTTTGGAATTATATGTTGAGCTTTACCTTGAGAGTACCACGAAAGAACAGGAAACTGGAATTGTCGAATCAATGGTGCATTTGATTTCGATGCAAATTGTTCGAGATGCGGATTTTGCTACCCACAATACTCTTGTAATATTGAATAACCTGGTGAAAATTTTTGACCATGAACGATTCCATGGATTTACTCTGAATCATAAGTTCCGTATTATGAATCATTACACTCAACTGTTTACGACAATTACACAATTACTTGGTGAATCTTCATTGTGTTTATTGTTGGATTCCATTATTCCTAAATTGGATCAGGATTTAAGCATTTGGAATACAGTGCTTCTTCTAAAAGTGTGTGCACAATTCATCTCGAGAGTTTCAAGTCTATCTGATGGACGTGTGGAGAGGTTTAGAATTACAGTATGGAAGTTGTGTCTCTCTCCTCATTACGAAATCCAAGTAAATGGTGTCTTAGTGTTGAGGGAAATCGCCTCAAAATCACCCAACATTATAAAGGAGATTTTGGAAACTTGTACAAATGAGGTTATAAATAATACAAAACAGCCCTTCTCAGAGAAAATTGCCACCAACTCTTATGGAATGTCACTCATCATATCAAATCTCGTTGCATTGGCTGATTTAGACTATGTTCCAAAATCAGTGGTTGAACACATATGGACTTCCTGCATTGGAGTTATCAAAGAGAATTTGAAACTCACAAAGTCAAACCATCACACCCTTGCAGTGTGTTGGATTTCGATTGCTGGTGTATTTACATACCGCGATGAATCATACCTTTCAACTCTTGTTGATGAATTCTTAACAATATTTGAAGCTTCTGATATGACCGGGACCATCAAAGAACAGCCGCTTGAAACCTTAACTGTGATCTCTCGTCATTTATCTGCAGTTGTTGCATTCCTCAGAAGTGTTGAAACCACTGATTCTATTAGCAAGATCATGGTTGAAAGTATATCTCGCTTAAGAACATTGGTTGCTGCTGTGAAGTTGGCTACGGATGCAGGAGTTGTGGCCGACCTCGTTATGAAGAGATGTCAGCAGATATATTTGCTGTGTATTGAATACGTCAAAAGAGAAAATAGCTCAGTTTTAATCCAAACAGTGGCTAATTTTTCGTCTCTTCCAAATTATACTTCAACTGTTAAAAACGAAGTCATTACACCTTGGACAAAAGATGATGGATTCAGTAATGGCCTATCTTCAAAGTTTAGAGGGTTTGAAATAGATGAGTTGTTGATCAAATTTCCAAATGTGAAGTACGAAGAGGTAACCGATTGCTCAATTGATTTGAAGCCAAGACCAGTGGGATCAAGTGAATCAAGCCATATCAAGAGTTGGGTTGCTGATATAACATGGATAGACGAGATCGAATCATCTTTGAATGTTCCTGTGGAGTGCGCGCTCGAATTAGACACACAGCAAACAATATTTGGTGATTACTCAATACACCAGCTGTATTCTCCGCCTTCGAAGACATGTGTTGTGGACTTGTCAATGGAGTTCTTCTCTTTGACGTTTCCCTACTTGTCCACTAAAGTTCAACTTTCAGTCTTGGAAACTTTACGATCTAATATGCTGTCGAAAAGCTGCAATGAATCTACACAAATTACCCAGGCTATAAACTTCTCGATCGTTATTCATGGATTGTTGACTCTAACTCACAAAAATCAGATCCCACTAGATAGCCAAGTTGGCATTCTGCTTCTTGAAACTTTAAGACATATTTGTGCCATTCACCCGGAGAGGTATTTACTTACACTGAACTCCGAATCTATCGGAATTCTGATATCCTGTACCGACTTGAAAGAGCAGATTCCTATCTTTTTAAAGAGAATAGTTGATGATCAACAGGCACACTCAAGGGCATTCAACGCGCTAATCCTCAGTAACATTTATCGGTACAATGCCTCTCATTTTGGTAACATTCTGGAAATGTTGCTGAAACTTGTCAAAGATGGCCATCCCGTGGTGCATGCCTGGAGTATGGATTCATTGGCCACAATTATTGGAAGACATTTGACAATGAATATCGAAAAGGCAACTGAAACTATTCAGATTCTTGGAGACTGTTATCTCAGTGATTGTTTTGGTAAATTGTCTCCTGTCTCTAACCTGAACTGTGATAACGATTCCAATGCTGTTATAATGAGGGTCTTAAGAGCTATCATCAACAGTCTGGGCCCTTCAATAAAAGATCTCGAATCGAAGACTAAACAAATTGTCAAGAATCTCATATTTAGTGGTATATGGCTTTCAAATAACACACATGAACGCCTTGAAGCAATCAAGATGATTCAAGAGCTTATCATTTATGACCATGAACACTTTACCACTGAAAATGTTGTTGGCATTTTGTGCTACATTATTGAAGGAAATATCGGTAAGTCTATTGGGTCTGAGTTGATGTTCACTATTTTTGAGGAAAAAAACGAAGTGTTTCCTATGACGTCTAGTTTTAAGACTTTGGAAGTATCTTTGGACTTTTTATCTCAGTTAGTCAAGATGTCAGAGAACAAGGCATTTTTTGCAAAGATTGAACCATTGATTTGGATATGTTTGGAGAGGCTTCCTGACTCCAAAATCTTGAAAAATATGATCAAAGAACGTATTGAAGAAACATACGATGTTGTTTGGTTTGTCAAACTACAAAAACTATACAGCGTTTCCAAACAGGAGTTATACAAATACATCAGCAACAGCAATAACAAAATCCTGGATAAATACAAACACGTTAAAACTGAGGTCAATGTCAAGGATGAAGAGGCGCAATCCATCGCGAATAAATCTGAAGTAGAACAGAAGGGGGAACTGGTGGACTGGAGGTTCAAGGCTGATATTATCGAGTTTTTGAGGCAACTTTTAGGTTATACTACGAGAGACTCCAAGTTTTATTCACAAATTTCTTCTAGGGTCTCTGAGGTTGTCAAGATATCTTTTGCAGCTTCGACTTCTTCTGCAATACCATTGAGATTGGCTGGTATGAAGCTTCTCGGGGAAATCATTTCGATATATGCACCTGCAAAGGATCCCATCTACCCTACTATACCATTATTGGAACAGCAGCAGGCCCAAATAACGTCAGCCCTGATGCCTGCCTTTCAGGAGGGCTCCACGCCTCTGTTGGCATGTGAGGCTATCAAAGTTGCCGCAATGTTTGTCGGATCTGGTGTTGTCAAGGTGACAAAACTTGGAAGAATTTTGAAAATCCTGACCGGAGCCTTGACTGATCTCCATGGAGATGATGAGTTTAAACTCAGTGACGTCGTTGTTACTAGTGAAGTCGGTCAAAGGAGGGTTAAGTTGGCGATCTTGAATGCTTGGGCCGAGCTGGAAATTCTCAGTAAGAATGAAAACGAGGATCTGGAAAAATTAATTCAAGAGCATATGCCTTTGCTTCTGCCACTGTGGATTTCAACTTTGAAGGAATTCTCTTTGATGAGACATGGGTCTTTTATTAAAGGTGAGGACTATCAAGCCTGTTGGGTGAACTTAGTTGACGTTATTGGTTGTCTCACGGAATCTGGAAATAACCTGATTGCAGACTTGTTGGGTAATGATGCACTGGGATTTTATTATATGCTCTATGCACATTGTATTTATGCCCTCCTGAGAAACGAAAATCGACTCAGAATATTATTGGCGCTGGTGAAGATCCTAGATTTCAAAGAATTGATTAAACTCATCTACTATGACGATATTATCTACGAAAGTATGGAAGTTTTTGAAAGACTTCTTGTCACAGGAGAAGAAGAGGAGCAACTTGTTGTCTTGGACATTACGTCTAAGATGTTCTTGAATCACTTTGACGTTAACCAGGAAGATGATTTCACCGAAAATGCCGATAAACTGTTTGACATCGTCCAATCCAATATGACAACTGCCACCCGTTTCATCTCCTCAGATGCGGATTCCAAAGATGATGGACTGAATGCCACTGAGCTTCAGCTTGTTAAGAAAGGGCTGGGATCTGTTGCTAAAATGATGTCAAAGTTCCCAGAAATTATCAAGCAAGATCTCTATGCTAGTTTGTTGTCTATCATTGCAAACATCTACTCATCTTCGAAGAGCTCTCAGTTGGTCCCACAAATTCTCCCAATATTGAAGGATGTGATTCATGAACTCATTGACATCAACGACATATCCACAGTTAATAACTTCTACCGTACTGTGAAACCAAGCTTAGATTCTCCGCTCATAACAATACTGACAATGAGTGTTCTCCTGTCAAGCGCTCCAAATCACCTGAGACTCTCACAAGATGACGTTGATCTCGTTGTTTTGAGTATATCTCAAGGCTTGTCAGATCAAGACAGTGTTCCATATGCAACGCAAGCTGTGAGATCCATTCTTGCGTCCCAAAATGCGATAAACAGTGCCATAGTTCGTGGTTTGATAAAGCAAATGGTGCTGAAAACGTTAGAGATTGATGATCCTAGACTTTCTCTGGAGATTCTAATTCTTGTTGTGAAGCAATATCCAACACCACAGCTGTACACCGTTTTAATAACACTCCTGTTGCAAACTCATACAAAGCATCCTCATCTGAGCGATTATATCCACAAGAGAATGGTTTCCCTCATTACAATTTCTCCGGATTCGTTCAAAGCTGTGGTTGGCAGCCTAGATGCCACGCATAAACACGACGTTGAAGTCCTTGTGAAGCTGGGAGAAATCGACACAAGAGAAGAAGGAGAGCATATAAAACTAAAAGCATTCGAATAGATTAGAACAATATACATTGCATTTTCCGATAGAAACACCTCATTCCAACGAAATATTGCGGTTTCTAGAACTGTGCCCGAAAGTTGTGTTCTCTGTCGCAGTAACAGAAATCACAAACAACGGTCATCACAAGCTAAAAAGATGCAATGAAGCCGTATGCATTGAAACAGCAAGCCAGATGTTTCTATGTGTGTATTTTATATGTACTTTTAATATATGTATATGCGTATGTGTGTGTATGAATCTGACTCTGTGAATGGAATCAAGGAAGGTGATTGTGCTTCTTCCTTCTTGTGGTGGAGGCTCCACGGATGGACATGGCACTACCTCTTGAGTGTAATGATGAGAAACTTGAGCCACGTTTAACCAGTTCTGGTGATTGGTCTCCACTTTCATTCCCGCTGCTATATGACAGTGTATTGGAAGCGAATGGGTTGAAATTCTGTACTCTTGGAGAGGCCAATGAAGATGGTGTTGTGGGCGACGGAGTTCCATTTGGGTTCTGCTTGTCGTTGTCCGCATTTGGCGGTTGTTGCTCAGTCTTTTGATGTTCTTCTTCAGTCTTTTGATGTGCTTCTTCAGTCTTTTCTTCCTCACTGAGCGATGCCTCCGCAAGAGACTTTGTAATGTTTGTGATTGGCGAGGTTGCGATGCTCTCGGCCTCAACTTCATCCAATGTAGGAAGCGCTTTTGGAATAACCAACGGCTCTGAGCCATGGTTGGATCCTGGTGACGAAGCAGATCCATTGATCTGCGATGACGAGAGGCTCTTGTTGGAGCTTGGTGACAAGACATCGAGGTCCAACATCGATTTTGGCTTCACAAGAGGAGATGGTGCACTCGATGACTCCCTGGACTCTTCAGGCTTGACAAACATAGATGCACACACACTCGCATAGCTTGAACTGTCGTCTGGGTCCTCTTCATCAATACAGCATTCGACTTGTGTGAACCAAGGGTCTGATAGTACATCCTCTAGTTTGTAACGAGTTGACAGGTGTGGGTCCAACAGTCTCCAAGCAACCCTTGCTGCGCCAGTACTCTTAAACTCCTTAGCCCATTTGAACTCATACCCAGGGCCATGGGATCTGTCGGCGGTTCTGAAAGCCGGTGTTGAGTTACACAGTGTAGCGTACGACACGGTCCAATCACGATACATGGCGTCGGTGTTTGATGCAGAAAGGAAAGGTTGAGAGCCATATATAAGCACGAACAGAATCATACCCAGCGCCCAGTTATCCTGATCAAACATAATATACGACGACTTCTTGGTTGGATCCTTCAGGTCCATAGCCTCCGGAGGGACATATGGAGGTGATCCGACAAATGTCTTGCACTCTTTCAGCGGCGAGGACAAATCGTTCGGATCCTCGTGGGCGTAGTCAGCAATACCAAAATCGGTGATCTTCAGACAAGCATCTTGATCAATCAAAATGTTCTCGGGCTTCATATCACGATGTGAAATACCACAGTCTTGCATAAACTTCAACCCGTACGCTATCTGCTTGAAGAAACAGAACTTCTCGTTCAAGCCACTGCTCTTGTAATGGTTGGTCTTTATGAAGTCATACAGATCGCCGTGCTTGCAAAACTCCAGGCAGATCGCCCATCCACGCTGGATCGTTGTATATGTCTGGACTTTCAATAGTGCATAAGTCCCAATGATATGTCTGTGTCCGCTTAGTCCCTGTCCGATAATAAACTCTCGGGCTGCGCGATGGTAGAAATGGTCTGGAGTCTCATGCTTCAGCAAATAGAGCTTTTTAATCGCAAACCACTTGTGTGTGGCCTTCTGCTGGGCGCCAAACACCATGGCACCACCACCAGACCCCAACTTCTTCAGCTTGCTCTGGTCGTTGACAAAGAACAGCGAATTGACCGTCTCCGTGCTCTGGTGGATATCTGCCGGCAAGTACGAATTGGGCTCGGCCAATGGGAACGGTAGCACGTATGTCTCATTGTTCAGGAAGGATGAGCCTCCGGCACCACTTGCGGACCCGTTTTGAGTTGCAGTGCTCATGGCAGAAGGGGTTCTCGACGACGATAGCTGGAACGACGATGACGTTGATGCTGGGTAGCCGGCCATTGGCAGCTTGGGCAGTCCCGACGTCGACAAAGTGGGCAGCACATGGTGATTTGATGTGCGTGGGACCCTTGGGCCTGAAATGTCCGCTCCTGTTCCTAAAACGTCAAATGTCTCCTTGACACCTTGAGTAAACGGGTTGTGGTTGTGCGAGAGGTCTGGCATGCGTGCGCTCGACGTCGACCTTCTCACGGGCGGCGACAACGGTTGGCCTGTCCTACCATTGCTGTTGGCCCTAGTCCGCGTGTGATGGGAGAAAGAGCGGATGAGCGTGAATGGGTTCTTGGACTTCTTCTCGCTGTTGCTCCTCTTCACGTCTGCTGCTGTTGCTGCTGGCATTGTCCTTTAAGTCTTGTACCCAGATTGCTATGTCCTAGTCTCCTTGGGATCAATTCGACTGGTTTTGATGCGGTTACTGCGGATGGATTTGTCTGTCCTCTGTGTTTTTTTCTCTCCCTGCTTTGAATAGTCAGGTGCTGCAAATTCGAACGACACGAAAGGCTTCTTCACGGATAAACTATGATCTCAGTGCTGGCCAAAGAAGTACCGAAAATCACTGTTAGGACCAGACAATCAGAAAAGCTTGAGGATAATGATCACAGTTGTCTCTTCTACGTCGCTAACCCTGAGTCCGTTGATTTCAAACCCGGATGTTTCAGAGATGTTTTCCTTAAAAAATGTTGATCGAATGGGAGAAATACAGTTTGTCCCTATTTTTTTCCCTGTCCTTCTCTCCTCCCTCTGCTCTTAAAAACGTTTTTTCTCTCAGTAGTGTTTAGGTTTGGGGAATTTCTTTTTAGTTGTCCCCATGCCCCCAGCTAATATTTCTCCTTTTGCTGCCCTTTCTATGGACAAATTTGAGTTTCACGCGGAAGATGTCCATGTCTGTTCCTCATTATTGTTGGGAACCTACAACCGGGGATTCATGAAGGGGGAAGTATATGTCCAATGACAAATAAGTAGAATTACGTTGTCATTTCCGACCTACAACACTTGACATAATATACGATAGTGGTTGGTCTCAATGAGTTTTGTGTCATGTTGCTGTGTGCTTTTTTTTGTGTCAGGACTCAGCTGAAAGCAAGCGGAAAGCAAGCTGTTGCGGTCCGTCATAATCATCTCTGTGATCAGACTTTACCGCCAGACAATAATCATTCTGATTAATATGACTATGGAGTGCGGTGCCGCGCCCGTCCGCAAGCGTGCCGAATTCCGTCTAAGCTAGCACATGGAACAGCTGGCTGCCGTGTTAGTCTCTTGGAGGAGGGGCTTCAATAGTTGACGACTCGACCATTTCACGTACGCCGCAAAGGGGTCTCACCAACTTGCGGCACGGTTGCACCATACATTTGCCTGGGATTATGTTGTCACTCAAGGCCGATCATCTTGAAACTTCGGGAGTCATGACCACGGACATTTCTCATCTATGCATGTACATTGTTCCTGTAGACGGCCGACATCCCCCAACAGTACTGGTAAGCAACCTTCAATGTCCCTCTAATGAGTACTAAGCTGGGTTCCCCCTCCAAGTGTGTATCAATAGGGAGTTATTCACCGCATTTAGTATAATGAAACCCCTCTGGAATTTATCTGTCTTGAATAATGATCAGATTAGTACTGTCGAACCTGAATATGTGTAGAGATAGCGATAGATAACGCTAGGCTTCGTGCAGGCTGTCTCGAAACTTCTAGAATGTCAGGTGTTTTTTTTCATCTTCTTCAATGGCCCATGTGTGGTTCAATCGCCGTCAAACAGCAATATAATAGCCACCACCCCATGTGTTCACACCGTATTGTGATATATACGGTGGCCAATTGAATAATCTCGACGGGCATGTGCTTCCCCAACGTGCTTGTAAGTACCTCACTCTGCCCAGAACAGGCGGATGCATTGTTAGGGTGGAGACGCTAGACGGGGAGACCAGTTGTCTGTTGGGGTTTAATTTTACACCATGGATTGGTGAGAGCGTAAGCCTCTGAGACCCTTTAAACATACATGTCCTCTGACCATGGCCTTGGACCTCGATTATCTTAATATGTACTGTAGCGAGTTGGCATCGTCGTCAGCGCGTAGGCCACATTTGCTCAACGACTCAACAGCCAGGGTCTCTGTCACGTGTGCCATTGTTGAGCAGCAGCGGTGACTTGGAAGGCGCGTAAGCGCCCAGAACCCCTAAGACAAACGCCACATGTTCCAAAATGGCAGCCCCGTAAATAGTAATCCGTGACGACCAGATTGCAGTCCAAGACTATTTGGAGTGGTGGTCGGTGGTGTCCTAGTCTTTTTTCTTCTTTGTGTTTGAGTAGTGTTTATTCAAATCGAGCGTCTTGTCCCATTCTGCTGATTGGACCGTCATCCCCTCTAGGACAAAAAAAAGCGGCATTACGTCATGGGCTTTCGAGATTGTCAATTTCTTAAAGTATACAATTGACATTGGAGCTACAAATGTCGTAATTGCTGTCCATTGGCTACAAAGGGTGTTAGAGTACGAGAGGTTTGGACATGTTCTATAGACGTTACATCGATTTAAACTATTAAATAACGTTGGAACTCAATAAATGTGTACTGACATCTTGCCATAATACCGCAGGGACGTGTAATACCTGTAGCCTGTCTAACGTGGATGCATCAACCATAACTTGTAGCCCATGACAAGAGACAGAGTCAGAGACCTCAGAGGATTACAGCCTCCATTTTAGAGCATTCGACCATCCTTGTTCAGCCCAGATGGCCCATCCTATATCGTTTAAAAGGCTTGTGTTTTGCAGAAGTCTCTCCAATATTGGACACGAAAATCTTTGGGACATGCACAAAACAAGCGTTTAGGTCCACTTCGGATTAACCTGGGGATGCTTCTAAGAATCAGAGTTTGGCTGAAGATGCAAGCGCTAAGACATCTACTCTCTGAAACCGGATATAGACTTTGCCATATGGATTAATTACCAGTTTAGGATAAATTGTTTTTGCTTAAGGGACAAGAGTGCATCTCATTACATCAAGAAAATGACAATGCTGACTACTCGGTTCTTAGTCGCTTGCATGAGAATGAGAGATATGTTTACAAATCGTAATCACTTTCATATTCCATTAGTGTAGCTTACGTGTCCTAGATCAAGAACCGGAAATCAGAGTTCACCTTTGAGCCATCATTCCCACGCCCAAGCTCTTTCTCCCAGTTCATTGTGCCGTTCTCGATTCTCTTGTTCAGCACACGAAGTCTCAGTCTAAGAATCACTGTGATGATTATTGAGCAAAGGACAAAGACAATGTTACAAATGAAAGCTGTAAGGAATCTAGGCGCAGAACTCGTAGGATAGAGATAGGAGTTCCAGATGGAGGTTGAATTGGACAAACAGTTCATCAAGGAAAGCGCAATGGCTCTCTTCAGCGGTGGACGGGGAACACTGTTGGACATCCAGGATAGGATCGTAGTATATGAGCAGTACAGCGATGGGATCATCAAGCACATTGAAAAGTAACGCGCACCTGTGTTCATCGTGGCAACTGCAATGATGAAAGAAATCATGGAAAGAACCAAAGGAATTGTCACATGGAGGAATCTCTCGCCTGTTTTGTCTGCATGTCTTGCCCAAATGAAGGTTGCAATAACGGCAAGAATATACGGTGGAACAGTAAGACCAAGTGTGGTGATTCTGTCAAAGTTCAAGGTTTCAACAACTGTTGGGAAAAAATTGGTGACACCACAAGCAGCAACTAGGAATGACAGGATACCAGTGATTGACCAAACCTTGATGTCTTTAATAGCTAGTAAGAAAGTTGTCCAATACGACTCTTCGTTCAGTTGATCTGAATCGTCTTGTCCAACCTCTTTTCTCAGTTTCCATAAGACCAGGTCCCTTTCCTGTTCTGTCAGGAATTTGGAGTTGTGTGGCATATCTGGAAGGATAAAGTACGTGAATGGCACTGTAAAAACAGTAATGGCACCTTCGATGATGAACAGCCATCTCCAGGATCTTAATCCTCTGGATCCATCCATATTGTCAATGATTCCCGCGGCTATCAAACCTGATAGTGCACCAGAGAACAGTGATCCAGAATAAAGAACTGCATTTCTGAAGGAGAGATCCTTTCTTGTATACCAGCAAGACAAATAATACAACGCAGAGCCAAAGAAACCAGCTTCAACAAAACCGAGGATAAGACGAATGACAAGAAGCCCAGCATAGTTCTGGACAGCACCACAACAAGTGGAAATAATGGCCCATGAGAACATGATAATGGTGATGAACAAAGATGGTCTATTTAGCTTGTTGACAATCATGTTTGATGGAATTTGCATCAGGATGTAACCCACATACAAAATAGAGATACAGGTTTGATATTGGTTACCGACGAGTCCAAGATCCTCTTCCAGTCCACCAAGACGTGAAGAGGCAATATTGTTTCTGTCCAAGTAGTTCAGAATGTAAATCCACACCAATGCTGGAAGGATTCTGAGATCGATCTTTCTTGTGACCTTTTTGTCAAACGCTGCGAGCTCGTCAGATGACATATGTTTCAACGAGTCAGGAATCTCCAACTCTTGTTGTAATTGTTCGCTACCTGCAACATTTTCCACTTCCTCGCTTGTGTCGCTTAGCTTGATCTCATCTCTTGATCGGGTTGACGACACATTTTCGATGGACTCAATGTGGATGTCCTCAGGTTTGTCTTTGATCTCCATGCTTCTCATGTGATATAGGCGATAATGGAGAACATAGCTCAATAATTCCCAAAACACCTGGTTATAAGTCTCTGTTTATATACAGAAGGGATCACAGCGTGCCAGGTCTGTTTCTAATGGCATCATCAACCACAAGTGAGTACAGGACGGCATGTTTTCAAGAAGCGTCGTAATAGGTTGGCGTGACTCAACGCCTACAGTTGCTTAAGGGTTAACTCTATGAAATCCCAACAAAAAACAGGTGTGCAAAGGTGAAAGATGCGTATTTCTACCTTATTCTGCTTGACTCGTTTGGTGTAAAATGATGAACATGTATACTCCTCCACTCGAGCCAGACATTTGAGGTGATGTGAAACTGTAAGGGCCTACTCTAGCGCAGATCCTCCCCCATTCGCCATGCATCAAATTAGTCCGCAACGCATAATTTCCAAAGTCTTGGGGAATTCTTTCGGAAATATTAGCCGATGGTGATGCCGCCTGGTGGTTGTGCTTGGAACTTTAACTGACCAGTGTAGATTTACAGCGTATAGGAGACAGTGAGTTGATCCGGGTGGGGCCTTGGGACTCTTGTCCGGCGTTTCAAATTGTCCCAACGACCATTGACGATAGGCACATTAGTTATTTTTAAGACATGTATCGGCTATGGATGGGACACTGTGCGTTAAGGACGTCGGCGTTCCGTGGGGTGCTTTTGGAAGCGGTACACAGCGCTACCGAGTCTGGAGTCTGGAGTCCGACTATTAGTCTGTCTTGGGGAGCAGTATTTAGGCTATAAGAAGCTTTACATTCATTTTTATGTATATCACATTTCGTGGTATCCATTTGGCAGCGTACATTTCGTCATATACAAGGAGTTCTTTGTTCAAAGCAACTTGTTAACGAAAGTACGGGAAGGATATCAGGCGTTGTCTCAGCATCACCATGGTTAATCTCAGGACTTTCGACACTTTGAAACCTCAAGACGCGTATATTTCAATGGACAGACGTATTTCATCTGCCGCTTGATCAAAGGGGGATATGTAATGATCCGGAGTCAATAGTAATGATCAGACGTGTAGTCTTGGTGTGCGGGTCCTTTTTCGTTTCCGTACAGGTCTCACAAAACTAGCACGACTATTTTCAGTCAATCTCATAAGCTTCCCAACCCAGTAAACAGTCCACTCAACTGGGCAGCACACTATGTCATTTTTTCCTGTCTGGTGTTCTCCAATGGTCTGACCCGTGGTGACTAAACGCCGTGTTAGACGGTATATGCAAAGCTGGGAACCAGGACACCGAATCATTCAATATTGAGGCTAGTCAGCCTCCACAGTGCCAAGCACTTGTAAAAATGTGGGGTTTCTCCGATGTCAACTGTATAGTACTGTACTTAGTCGGCAAAATATCTTTACCTTACACATTACACGACACAAGTCGACGAACTTATGCGATACTGTCAAACTTTGCTTTAAGAATACTGCAAATATAGCCAATGTTTTTCAAACTGCAAAAGTGTTTCACCTTGAAAAGATCGGGGCGTGTCGACTTGGTAGGTTCTATCGTTTTATGTCAGTTTGAATAATCCATGATATGCAACACAATTGAACTCTGTAAAGTCTTTTTCTACAAATGGATAAGTTTACCGAGCAGCTCGTTGATGATCTGAACAGTGGTCCAATGACTACGACCAAAGGCGACAAACTTAAATAATTGATCATGGACGTTGTTGGACATATTGTGAATTTAATGAGATTTCGCCTGACCTCATCAGATCGAGGAAATGGCGAAAAACGATCAGCATTGACCATTGGACATTGGACATTGGACATTTTGAGACCTTCAGAACGCATCATTTTCTCTTGTAGTACTTTATACACTCCTCTCTTCGCCAGTATTCCCTAAGTACTTTGGAGTTACAATAGTGGAAACTTTACTATTGGAAGCAATAACAACCCATTCTAGGATCGTTAACAAGGACAAAGGCCTCTGAACTTTGAAATGTCATTGGAGATCAGATGGTTATCCTTCCTAGGCTTTTGGGCCGTGTTCCTGGGCCTCAGTGCATTTACGTCATCATTGAGCTGGCCATATGGCAAACTGCTTGTCACCAATGTTCATTATTTAATGATCGGGAATGGCAAAAACTGCTTTGGCAAAAACTGCTTTGGCAAGAGATATGAACGGTAATGCACCTTGTCTAAAGCCCTGCTGGATGAGACATTTGGGCTGTTTTTTAGATATTACGAAGCAGTGTTCGATACCGTGTCCAGGTTGTCTAGAACACAACTTTAGTTAATGACGTATTTCGATAACAGGACTAGTAATCTACAGTGCCATGCACGGTCAATCAACAGCCTTAATAATATAATTGTTATAGTGATAGTTGTGTGATATAAACTGCAGCATTGGTATCGTCAAAGTACATCCACGAAGGAAGGGCCAATGCGCTTTACAGATGTCATGAAATGACATGGAGAAGTGAACATTAGAGTAGGGAAAAAGGAGGAAGAGTATACTAAGGAAAAATTGGACTGGTTACAGGTAAGAATTCACTGTAGTGTTGAGATCTGAGGATGAGTGAGTGTGCTATTTGTTCGTTTCCTGTGTTGTCTGTGTTTGTTCACCCTCCTCATCTCTTCTCGACCAAACCAATCAGTCCAACTTCACCACACCTGGGATCTTCTCCAAATCACCAAAGGTGTTCTCACTAGAGTACAAGATGTACAAGAACCCGTCCTCATCTTTATGTTCCTCGTAGACAGAACTCAATGTTGCAGCCGTTGGTGGTAATATATCATTCACAAAGATGAAGATAGCCCTCTCTGCTGGCACGTCGATCCTTCTTCTGATAACGTACACAAACTGTCCGATGGTCAAGTCATACGGAACAAGGTACTTGTTCTTGTCGATCTCTGGCAAGTTGGACTTCTCCGCACGCTCACACACAATTGGTATACGGTTTGTGAACTTGGAACTGATCTTCTGAGACTCGGCCTTTCTAGACTCTGAACGGGGTGCTGTTAGTTAACAAGATCGACAACCCATGATAAAGCAAGACTTACCGAATGAGTGCTCGTCTTTGAAACGGAATCTCATCGTGTTGATAACGCTTAAGCTATCAGACTGTTAGTACAGGCGCCCTGCAATGTATTGTCCATCCCCTTGATGGCATGCCCCTTGACGATATCCCCACGCTCCCTTCCGTGTTGATAAAGACAACAAGACTTAACTTACAGTTTAAAGTGCTTCGGAGTGATACAACTGTAAGTGGTAGACGGTTCGATTCAACGATAGTGAACGGTTAGACGATTCTTTATCCACGCTATCACGTTCAGTGGTTTGATTTCTGTTTATCAGTTGGTTTGCCTTGTTTTGTTTTGTTTTGTTTTGTTTTGTTCTCCTTTGTTGTTTTTGTGGTGGCGTTTTGCCCCTACATTTTCTGCCAAGCTACTCCACGGGCAAATAAAAGATAAGCAGTCTGGGCTGTAGCGTTCTGAGATTTACGCTGGGTGTCCGTTCTGAGATTTACGCTGGATGGGAACAGCCAGAGCACTGCTATTGCGCCACAGCATCAATTGAGGTGAATGTTCAACTAGTAACAGTTCAAGGTACGAGATGTCTAGGACTAAGCCCTCTCTTCGGCATATCCCTATTCATAGCAGGTGATTTGCTGTAGATGGAAACGTCAAATGTGTTCCTGTGCCCTAAAATGAGTCGAAAGGAGACTACTAACTTCACCATGCAAAGCATCACGTATCTATCGTCCATGCGAGCTGGACAAGGCCGACATTCTAATGGCTGTAGGACATAAAGCAAATGACTTCAGTTTCATGAGCAACTTCAAATTCATAGGTATCAGGCAATAATTTGAACTACAAACGTAAAGGGTGTTGTGCATGAGAGCAGCAGTGGTGCTTGCAAGTTGACTAATCATCCTGGTCAGCGAATATTGTCCTCGTATAAAATAAGTTAGGTCCTATATAGTCCGATATTTATAAAACCTCTGAACTAATTCTACAATCTTCTGAAGATGGGCAGTAACTTCTGTTCCAGGTCCTTACACACCCTATGCTCAATTCTTAAGAGTAGCATCTATCTTCTGGAACATAATGCTGTTTAAAAATGGATTTAATTCGAACGTCAAAAATGTATATTATAGGTAGAGCAATACAAAGAGATGTATCTGAACGTAGATCCTAGGACTCAAAACCACCTATAGAGGAAGAAACAAAATAATGGGACCCAATAGAATGGAAATACGTTGGAAACTTGAACACTTTTCGAAATCAAAAAAGTGTTTCAAAAGAATCCAATTCGAAATAAAAAAGCATGTTGCCAACGACTTGAAATCAAATCAAAGCAACAGCGAAAAGAAGGGCAGAAAGCACTGAAATCACTGACTTTTTAACTGCTGTGCCTTCATAAGCAGGGATATCTGCAGTTGTCTCAGACCCAGA